ATCTGCTTCAGTTTATAGTAATAATTTTCAAAATAAATTATTGTAGGCCTTTTCAACTTTAGAATAAGAAACATGACCAGAATTTGCTCATGTTCAACCTGCTTATCATATATGTCTTGTCTGCTCAAGCTTCTTCTGTTGCTTCACCCATAGAAACACAGCCAGCAATAGTCCTAAGTCAACTGATATCAGCGAAGACGATGATGGGACAAAATTGCTTCTTGGTCAATGGCGGCAGTTCTAGAAGGTGGCCGACGAAGGTTGAAGCCGAGGAAGAAAGATGATGAATGCGGGCTTTGCTGCTTCAGGGGAAGATGAAAATGATGTTGGGGAGGGCTCCACGGACTAGTTTGCAATTTCTCTTCAACTTCAAATTTCAATTTTCAAAAAAATAAAAAGAAACATAATAAATCCACGTGTAGTCTCTTCATTGGATGGACAAGAAGGACAGGGCGGGTGATCCCATGCCGGCCGCTGATGTGTTCAATTTCCATTTTCACCATTGTGTTGTAGACAGTCCCTAAGTGCAATACTAGTAAAGAGAAGATTGCGTCACAATTTATTAATCTATAAATTGACCAGTTTGAATGCCTTCACATCACACGTCTCATTGTATTGGTGAACCATAAGAGGAAGTTGCATGAGTCATGGATCGAGGAGCTCAGTTTTAATGCCAAGTTCTTGATGCCACCAAAAAATAAAAAAATAAAAAATCAGTTAGGAAAAAAGAATGAATATAACGAGATCAGCTACAAAAAATTTTAAGTTTTCTGTAAGGATTTTTCGTTACATCTTAGACGACTAAATAATAGTATAACTTTAGTATTTTACTTAACTATATAAACAATCTGTTAATCAAATTCAAATTAAGCGTTGGTTATGATAGTAATGATAATTAGTTTTGTCAAGAAATTTTCACAATTTGTGAAGAAAAGAACAATTCAAACTGAAAATGTTCGACTGGAGGTGCCAAAAGAATATATTTTTTTTGTTCTACATCAATTAACAATTAAGTAAATAAAATATATTTTATCATTACTTCAAAAAATTAATGGAAACTCTTACGTTAAATCTGCTTCAGTTTATAGTAATAATTTTCAAAATAAATTGTTGTAGGCCTTTTCAACTTTAGAATAAGAAACATGACCAGAATTTGCTCATGTTCAACCTGCTTATCATATATGTCTTGTCTGCTCAAGCTTCTTCTGTTGCTTCACCCATAGAAACACAGCCAGCAATAGTCCTAAGTCAACTGATATCAGCGAAGATGATGATGGGACAAAATTGCTTCTTGGTCAATGGCGGCAGTTCTAGAAGGTGGCCGACGAAGGTTGAAGCCGAGGAAGAAAGATGATGAATGCGGGCTTTGCTGCTTCAGGGGAAGATGAAAATGATGTTGGGGAGGGCTCCACGGACTAGTTTGCAATTTCTCTTCAACTTTAAATTTCAATTTTCAAAAAAATAAAAAGAAACATAATAAATCCACGTGTAGTCTCTTCATTGGATGGACAAGAAGGACAGGGCGGGTGATCCCATGCCGGCCGCTGATGTGTTCAATTTCCATTTTCACCATTGTGTTGTAGACAGTCCCTAAGTGCAATACTAGTAAAGAGAAGATTGCGTCACAATTTATTAATCTATAAATTGACCAGTTTGAATGCCTTCACATCACACGTCTCATTGTATTGGTGAACCATAAGAGGAAGTTGCATGAGTCATGGATCGAGGAGCTCAGTTTTAATGCCAAGTTCTTGATGCCACCAAAAAATAAAAAAATAAAAAATCAGTTAGGAAAAAAGAATGAATATAACGAGATCAGCTACAAAAAATTTTAAGTTTTCTGTAAGGATTTTTCGTTACATCTTAGACGACTAAATAATAGTATAACTTTAGTATTTTACTTAACTATATAAACAATCTGTTAATCAAATTCAAATTAAGCGTTGGTTATGATAGTAATGATAATTAGTTTTGTCAAGAAATTTTCACAATTTGTGAAGAAAAGAACAATTCAAACTGAAAATGTTCGACTGGAGGTGCCAAAAGAATATATTTTTTTTGTTCTACATCAATTAACAATTAAGTAAATAAAATATATTTTATCATTACTTCAAAAAATTAATGGAAACTCTTACGTTAAATCTGCTTCAGTTTATAGTAATAATTTTCAAAATAAATTGTTGTAGGCCTTTTCAACTTTAGAATAAGAAACATGACCAGAATTTGCTCATGTTCAACCTGCTTATCATATATGTCTTGTCTGCTCAAGCTTCTTCTGTTGCTTCACCCATAGAAACACAGCCAGCAATAGTCCTAAGTCAACTGATATCAGCGAAGACGATGATGGGACAAAATTGCTTCTTGGTCAATGGCGGCAGTTCTAGAAGGTGGCCGACGAAGGTTGAAGCCGAGGAAGAAAGATGATGAATGCGGGCTTTGCTGCTTCAGGGGAAGATGAAAATGATGTTGGGGAGGGCTCCACGGACTAGTTTGCAATTTCTCTTCAACTTCAAATTTCAATTTTCAAAAAAATAAAAAGAAACATAATAAATCCACGTGTAGTCTCTTCATTGGATGGACAAGAAGGACAGGGCGGGTGATCCCATGCCGGCCGCTGATGTGTTCAATTTCCATTTTCACCATTGTGTTGTAGACAGTCCCTAAGTGCAATACTAGTAAAGAGAAGATTGCGTCACAATTTATTAATCTATAAATTGACCAGTTTGAATGTCTTCACATCACACGTCTCATTGTATTGGTGAACCATAAGAGGAAGTTGCATGAGTCATGGATCGAGGAGCTCAGTTTTAATGCCAAGTTCTTGATGCCACCAAAAAATAAAAAAATAAAAAATCAGTTAGGAAAAAAGAATGAATATAACGAGATCAGCTACAAAAAATTTTAAGTTTTCTGTAAGGATTTTTCGTTACATCTTAGACGACTAAATAATAGTATAACTTTAGTATTTTACTTAACTATATAAACAATCTGTTAATCAAATTCAAATTAAGCGTTGGTTACGATAGTAATGATAATTAGTTTTGTCAAGAAATTTTCACAATTTGTGAAGAAAAGAACAATTCAAACTGAAAATGTTCGACTGGAGGTGCCAAAAGAATATATTTTTTTTGTTCTACATCAATTAACAATTAAGTAAATAAAATATATTTTATCATTACTTCAAAAAATTAATGGAAACTCTTACGTTAAATCTGCTTCAATTTATAGTAATAATTTTCAAAATAAATTGTTGTAGGCCTTTTCAACTTTAGAATAAGAAACATGACCAGAATTTGCTCATGTTCAACCTGCTTATCATATATGTCTTGTCTGCTCAAGCTTCTTCTGTTGCTTCACCCATAGAAACACAGCCAGCAATAGTCCTAAGTCAACTGATATCAGCGAAGACGATGATGGGACAAAATTGCTTCTTGGTCAATGGCGGCAGTTCTAGAAGGTGGCCGACGAAGGTTGAAGCCGAGGAAGAAAGATGATGAATGCGGGCTTTGCTGCTTCAGGGGAAGATGAAAATGATGTTGGGGAGGGCTCCACGGACTAGTTTGCAATTTCTCTTCAACTTCAAATTTCAATTTTCAAAAAAATAAAAAGAAACATAATAAATCCACGTGTAGTCTCTTCATTGGATGGACAAGAAGGACAGGGCGGGTGATCCCATGCCGGCCGCTGATGTGTTCAATTTCCATTTTCACCATTGTGTTGTAGACAGTCCCTAAGTGCAATACTAGTAAAGAGAAGATTGCGTCACAATTTATTAATCTATAAATTGACCAGTTTGAATGTCTTCACATCACACGTCTCATTGTATTGGTGAACCATAAGAGGAAGTTGCATGAGTCATGGATCGAGGAGCTCAGTTTTAATGCCAAGTTCTTGATGCCACCAAAAAATAAAAAAATAAAAAATCAGTTAGGAAAAAAGAATGAATATAACGAGATCAGCTACAAAAAATTTTAAGTTTTCTGTAAGGATTTTTCGTTACATCTTAGACGACTAAATAATAGTATAACTTTAGTATTTTACTTAACTATATAAACAATCTGTTAATCAAATTCAAATTAAGCGTTGGTTACGATAGTAATGATAATTAGTTTTGTCAAGAAATTTTCACAATTTGTGAAGAAAAGAACAATTCAAACTGAAAATGTTCGACTGGAGGTGCCAAAAGAATATATTTTTTTTGTTCTACATCAATTAACAATTAAGTAAATAAAATATATTTTATCATTACTTCAAAAAATTAATGGAAACTCTTACGTTAAATCTGCTTCAGTTTATAGTAATAATTTTCAAAATAAATTATTGTAGGCCTTTTCAACTTTAGAATAAGAAACATGACCAGAATTTGCTCATGTTCAACCTGCTTATCATATATGTCTTGTCTGCTCAAGCTTCTTCTGTTGCTTCACCCATAGAAACACAGCCAGCAATAGTCCTAAGTCAACTGATATCAGCGAAGACGATGATGGGACAAAATTGCTTCTTGGTCAATGGCGGCAGTTCTAGAAGGTGGCCGACGAAGGTTGAAGCCGAGGAAGAAAGATGATGAATGCGGGCTTTGCTGCTTCAGGGGAAGATGAAAATGATGTTGGGGAGGGCTCCACGGACTAGTTTGCAATTTCTCTTCAACTTCAAATTTCAATTTTCAAAAAAATAAAAAGAAACATAATAAATCCACGTGTAGTCTCTTCATTGGATGGACAAGAAGGACAGGGCGGGTGATCCCATACCGGCCGCTGATGTGTTCAATTTCCATTTTCACCATTGTGTTGTAGACAGTCCCTAAGTGCAATACTAGTAAAGAGAAGATTGCGTCACAATTTATTAATCTATAAATTGACCAGTTTGAATGCCTTCACATCACACGTCTCATTGTATTGTATTATTCAAAAATATTCTCAACATCTAATTCTATTTATTACTTTATTTATTAATTACACATCTTCATGAGGAGCACCTTTATTACACTGCCCGCCACCGCCTTCGCCGCCAGGAAGCCACACTGCAGGCGGAGCGACGCTGCCATTTCCCTCCGACAGATCTCCGCCACTGCAGCACGAGCAGCGCGGCCGCTGTCGATGATCAGCAGCAGCAACCGCTCGTCACTGGCCCAAGAAAAGCTCGAGCTATTCAAATCACTGGAGCCATGGGTGAGCACCGAAATTTTGCCGCTGCTGTCGGACGCTGAGAAATGCTGGCAGCCGAGCGAGTTTCTTCCTGACGTTACGCTTCCAGTGGCGGATTTCGCGGAGCAAGTCCGGGACCTGCAGGCGCGCACGGCGGGGCTGGCGGACGAGTACTTTGTGGTGCTGGTTGGGGACATGATTACAGAGGACGCGGTGTCCACTTACCAGACGGTGCTCAACACGTGGGACGGAGTGCGAGACCAGAGTGCGGCCAGCCCGAGCCCGTGGGCCGTGTGGATTCGGGCCTGGTCCGCCGAGGAGAATAGACATGGCGATTTGCTCAGGACCTTTCTCTATCTTTCCGGCAAAGTCGACATGCTCATGCTCGAGAGGACTGTCCAGTGCTTGATTCGTTCCGGAATGGTATACATATCTATCTATAACTCTATCACTCTCTCTCTCTCTATATATATACATATATATATATATATATTTTGCAGTTTTTAGTATATACTTTTGGAAGTTTGGAACATCTTTTAAAATAATACTACTAATATTATATCAAATCTCTCGCCAGTTTCAAATATTTTATAATATTTTTATTTTTAATCGATCTCAAATATCCTATAATATTTTTAAATAAAAAATAGTTAATAACAAATATATATTTTTCTCCCGTTACATAATTTAATTTTCATCACATTACATAATTCTCAAATTATCCTACTATCATTTAAATTACCATATTAAATAGGTGTGTTTGTTTGGAAGTTTGAATTTTGAGTTGGGATTTGAATAGTAAAAATTTTAAATTTAAATAGTTGTATGATTTGATATAAATAGGTGTTGATGTAATTTTTTGAATGTAAAATTAATTTTTAGTACTCCCTCCGTCCCACATACCATGTCCACGTTGCCGTTTATGTCCATCCCACATACATGTCACTTTCATTTTTTTGAAAATGATTACACACTTTATTCTCATTTTAAACTTTTTAATTTTATTTTTTTTAATTTTAATTAAACTAATTAGTTATCTTAATCTTAATTTATAATTACTTATATTATCGGATAATTATTTTCACTAATAAATTCTTAATTATCTACTAATTATACCCCTCCTAAAATACCGTGTCTACAGTGTAGCAGACACGGTGTGTGGGACGGAGGGAGTATAATATAAAAAATGAAAAATAAGTGTTTTATTTGATTTTTTTGGGAAAAAAATGGGATAAATAGTATAAATTCAATCCAATCCCCCAAACAAACACAATATTTTAAATTATATTTTTATTATTTTTTACATAATAAGAAAGAGACAAAAGATTTTATAATTCACCGGTAGTTTGGAAAACCGGCACTATACTCTTGTAATTTAGAAATTATACAAAAAATTTTCATGTTTTTAAAAATATTGCATAAAATTTCTTAAAAATTGCATGAAATTCCTTTGTTATTTTAATCAATTTTGGTTACACCGTTAAAAGAAAATAACGAAAATTGTTAACGTGGATGTAACGAAGTTGACGTGGCAGCTAACTTGGAAACTACACGCCCATGTTGTCACACAGTCATGTTTAATTCTACGCGACCGTGTACCTTTCTGTTATTATCTAAAATTTTATTTTTTTGTTATGTATTTTCTTTAAAAAATTATTTTGAATTTAAAATATGTGATATAGTTAAAATGGAAAAAATCAATAGTAATCATAATATAATTAAAATGTATCAATTTTAATTCAAATATAAAATTTTATAGGGTATGCTCTTTGAAAAATTTTGCCTAAAATTATACTCTACATAAAAAGAAATTTCCTCCAAAACATATCCAATTACAAAAAATTTTTTATTTTTTAATATTATATAAGAAATTTATTTTATATTTCAATACAATTTCAAACCATTTTTAAAATATAAAATTAATTTTTAATACTATAATATAAAAAATAAAAGATAGTTGTGTAGTTGAATATTTTTAGGAGAAATATTTTTGGTAAATAGTAAAATTTTAGGCAAAATATCTCAAAAGAGCATACTCAATAAATTTTTATATTTGAACTAAAATTGATACATTTTAATTATATTGGGATTACTATTGATTTTTTTCATTTTAACTATATCAACTATTATAAATTCAAAATATTATTTTTTTAAAAATATATATAAAAAAATAAAATTTTAGACTAAAACAGAAAGATACACGGTCGTGTAGAATTAAACATGGTAATGGAAAATAAGACCATGTAGTTTCCAGGTTAGCTGCCACGTAAATCCTGTTACGTCCACGTCAGTAATTTTCGTTAATTTTTTAACGATGGAACCAAAATTGATTGAAATTGTTTAAAATGAGACTAACATTGATGATTTTTTTTTCTTATTGAAATCAAAATTGATAAATTATAATTATATTAGAATCAAAATTAATTTTTTTCTCTATTTAATACTTACTTATATATGAACCTAGAAGCTAGAAAAGCTATCTACGACCATTAGAGAGGGAAGGAGCTGACGACCTGCGTGAATATATTTAATTTACAAAAACCATAGGCACTTTATCATCGTCTTGTGTTTAAATATGTTGGGAGTATTGAGTTTGGAAAAATAATAAAAGGAAGAACTAATATAAAAAAAAAAAAAAGTTTAAATATATTTTCAAAGTATTTTTTAAGAGTTTTGAAATTAATAAAAAAAACAAATATTTGATAAACAATCATTTTTTTTTTTAAAAAAAAATATCATATTAAAAATTTAGGATTTGTTTTTTGTATATATATAATTTCAAATTTAAATCAGTATTATTCATCCAACACATTTCTCAATCAAAATAAATTATTTTTTAGTTTTCACAATTTATCACATCAAAATACTATTTAAACAAAAATTCTTATCTACCAATTTATTTTAAATCAATTTCGAATTACAACATAATATTTTACTATTCTAGAGAATTGTTTTGTTTGTTTTTTTTTTTTCACTTTTTTTACTTCAAAATTTTGTAAAAAAATGTATTAATTTTTTTTTATAAAATATTACATTAAATAAAAAATTGAAATCTTCAGATTTTTAATTGAAATACTAAACAAATCATTTTGATACTATGGTGGGCAAGACCATAGTGTCATTTTTCATTATCAATGTACTAAATAAAATAAAATATAAATGATGATGTAAAACAATTATTCTCTCCGATTCTCCCCAAAGTTATATATATTTTTTTTGCATATTAAATATATTAAAATATAGTATAAATTAAAAAAAAAATTGATAAAAATATTTTTATTAATATTTTATAATACTAATATAATGATATTTGTACAAAAATTATATTAATATAATAATATTTTTAATATTAAATACCATAACGCAAATGTAAATGTAACTCTAGCCAGTGGAGAGAGGTAATATTTTAAATGTGATATATATATATATATAATATTCCTTCCGTTCTTCTATTTTCGTCTATTTCATATAATTTGTATTTTTTTAGAAAAATAATTATATATTTTAGTTTTATAATTTATAATTATTTTTATTATTATACCTTTTAATTATTTATCAATTATATATTATCTAAATTCTAGTTAGAGTATATCTAGTTTAGTAGGATGGAATGAATATATTTTTACTTGAAGTGATAATAATATATTAAAAAACAAAAAAGACTAAAAAGAAATAATATAGCCTAAAATCGTAAAATGACAGGACGGAGGATTCGAAAACAATCCATACTTGGGGTTTGTCTACGTGGCATTTCAAGAGCGAGCCACGTTCATAACTCACGGCAACACCGCCCGGCTCGCAAAGAAGGGCGGGGACCCAATTCTGGCCATCATATGCGGAACCATTTCTGCGGATGAAAAGCGCCATGAGTACGCTTACACTAAGATCGTCGAAAAGCTACTCGAGGTCGACCCCAACGAGACAATTATCGCCATAGGCAAAATGATGCGGAGGGGAATCACGATGCCCGGCGCCCTAATGTACGATGGCTGCGACCCAAACCTATTTGAACATTACTCAACCGTGGCCCAAGCCATTGGAGTTTACACAACCAAAGACTACGTAGACATTCTCGACTTCTTTATCAAACGGTGGAGGCTAGAGAAGCTCCACGGCCTCAATGGGGAGGCTAGACGCGAGCAAGAATTCGTGTGCCGTCTTCCGGATAGGTTAAGAAAATTCAATGACCAAGTAGGAGAACGAGCTAAGAGGCAATTGCAAGAACACAAGCTCAAGTTTAGCTGGATTTTCAATAAATACGTAACTATTTGAGTCGACAAGAAAGTACATCGCAAATCAATCGCTGTCTTCTTGCAAGACTTACTATATAATGTCATATCCTTTAATTAAGTTTGTAATAAAGGTGAATGTAGGTCTTCGAGAAGAATATGTAGACCGTGTTGGAGTTAATGCCATTCTAATATTTCAATATGTATTCTGACTATTCAAGTTACCTAGGAATGTCTTTTAAGATTTCTTATGTTTGATATTTATGTTGTATTCTAGATCATTTTGTATAGTCTTGAAATGATCATTCGAAATGAGGAAAAATCATATTCATCAATTAAGCTCTACAGCAGCAACGAATTCTTTGATAGAAAAATCACATTCTATTAACTGGTATCCGAGCATTGCTGTCGACCCTACAGTAACGACACCATGTCTCATGCACCATATGGATCTTCAATGATCTATTCTTTGAAGGAGAAGATTACGAGAACTAGAAGATTAATAGTGACATTCTTGAAACCAACACATTTATGGAGAATAGCGTCACTACTAAAAAAACTGTTTTCTACTACGGCCGAAAAATCGTAACAACAAGCCATTTTTTGTGCAATTTGCGTATTTGCTACGCCTTTGTTACGACTTTTCTCCGTAATGTGTACTCGCGTAACGAATTTTTTTGCCACGCGGTTTTTCATAACTATTACTGTCGGTCAACGCTCCCTAATGCAGGGTTTTTGTTACGCTGGTTGTTACGAATTTCCTCTCGTAACCAAATGTCGATCCTTCCGCGTGTGTGTCAGAGCTTTTAGTTACGATATTTGTTACGAAAGGTCGGCGCGTTACAAAAACGTTCCAGTGATCGCTTGTCATATTTGGTTTTTGTTACGAATATTTGTAACGACATTGAACCCGTAATAAAAAATATACTTTTCATTAGTCACGGAACAACCTGAAACAACAAACATCCAATGACCACTTTTTGTCACGGTATTTCATCCTTTTGTTACGCAGGAATATCATGCTACGAAAAATAGGTGTTACACTGCAATTGAAATTGTGCGTAACAAAATGACCTGTTGTGGTCTCCACAATACCGAAAGAAATTCTGTATACACATAATGTTATAAACATCATCATTGGCAATACTTGCAAACATTAATTCATAGTATGCATAAGAATCCCGACATTAAGGGACATGGACACCACAGTTTTTACTCGACAATCTCCATACCTAACAACGAAGTAAAGCAACCCATAAAACAAGCCTAGCAAGCACTACACAGCAACATCCTGTTCCGCAAAACGGGCTTAACAGTTCAAATACCAAACCTAACAATAAGCAAGTACGGATATCCATCAATCGATAACCACATCGTTCACCACACGAATTAAAACTCCAATGGTCTATGCATCCATTCCACATATCGTTCACACAGCCTCAACACAATCCAGCGAAAAACAGGTACAACATACATTCCATAAGACAAACGGGACAACTAACACGGGTGAATCGGTAGATACGCTTCAGGGACGGCGCATGAGCTGCAATGGCCAACAAAAAGATTAGTTTAAGTTGTATCTCTTATAAGTTTCGGAAGGCAATACAAGAAAGGTATGAACATAGATCCGTACGTCCTTGTAGGTCCACTCAATAGGATCTTCACCAACGACATCGCGAAGGGTAGTCGCCCCAACAATGGTCGGCAAAATAAGGGGTGTGTCCAGGACTGAGGCGGATGTCACGAAGACCTTGACCAGGGAAAGTGTGTCACCTACAGCATGCACAAGTTCAATTTTTGAGTATATTGAGCCATAGATATCAACAGACGTTCAAACTGTATGTATAACATGCCACAACACAGACATTAAAATAGTAAAGCTTTGCAATTAGAACAGTACGAGTATGTATATTCAGACATGTCGTACAATACATGGTATTATATCCATGAATTAGGTACCAAAGTACATTATATCCTAATTTCCTATGTGATTGCAGCTCGATCTATAAACCAATCATCCTTCAATAAACAAATGTAAACTAGCAATATCATGTACAATATCCAAATAAAAATTAGTATTTCGAAGTTCTATATCCATATGGCAACCCCCAAATGGGAGGGCTCCATGTATGTTTCGTAGTACTATGTCTCAATGAGATTAACTACCATTTATACACTAAATACGAGCAGACATCCGCAGATGCAGTTTCAAGTTTAGAGTACCGACCACTGATATATCAAATTTTATGTACCAAACTCATCACTAACAAGAGATACACCTTGGCAGCAAGGGACTACATAGGATTTCAATAATAAAGTCAATTTTAAACATCTTTGGGGAAAGTCATAGTGTACCCAAATAGTGTAATAGCAGCGTAGCCATAAACAATGTGATGTAAAAGATAAAAAAGACCAGACCAACATAGGAGTCGGCATAATACCACTGAGTTTACTGCCCCTATAAAAACAATGTACATAACACAAGCAAATCCACATATCGTAACATTGTATATGTCTAAGCTCAAGAAAACCATGATCATTAGCAATATGAGGCCCGAACGGTTACAAAACCTACGATCCCTCGCCGAGGCATAATAAAAGTTCCAAAAAAAACCTTAAAGACAATGGCACAAACCTGGCGCAGGGGGGCAGAGCAGAAGTCCCTCCGCAACAACTTTTTTCTCACCGGTGCGGATAATAGAAGCACACGCGTGCCGACCTACAACAAAACATTACAAATGAGTTGGAAACGTAGTAGACTATCAAGAGTAGCCTAAATTAGGCACTGCACTGATTACTAAGAAACTTGAAGGTTTGACGGAATCATACCGTCAGACCTGGCTCGGACACAGGCCTGGGAAGCTCAGAGACTGAATCAATACGAGATGTGCCCTATCATTTATGCGCATATCATGGTAAATTCCCATATTAGCCATCCCAATCTCATGGGATACTCATACGAAATGTACAGATATTATGAATACTTACTGCCTGGCCAGTAACTACTCCAGAGTTTCTGTGCATGAATGCATACACATCAGACTTGATAGTTTTGAACTCAACCATCATTGCCTTCAACTCTGCAAGCCCATTATGTATTTGTTCCCACCCTTGCTCGAATGCTACACTATCTGTTAAACTAGTTGCTTCGCTGCGGGGATGAGCTGAACTTGCCGCACTATCGACCTTTGACCGTTTCTTAATCTTTCCCCCAAGGGCCCGTCGGTACAGAGTCTCCCGAACAGAGAGAGTCTGCCCTTCAGGGGGAATCTTGTTTAGCTTATTCTATAAATATGTCTACGAGAAAAGATTTAAGTGAGGCCGAACTCGCTTTTATTGTCAGAGAGGTACATAATGTCTGAATTGTCACTTAATTGGTACAATAAATTTATTATACCAAAATCTCTTCGGTTTCTTGGTCGTCCTTCCCCTTGCCTTGTGTCCGACTGGATATCCAAATCTCCAAATTGTCGGGGTCTTTCTCCTTCGCTTTGATCTGCAGCAACACAAGGCCTTATGTCATTGCAAAACACAAGCAACTATGTTTTGAAGAATGTAAGGATGGAGCATAGCATGACTAATTACTTAAACATAATGAAAGGTACCTCATCGGCGAGAGTTGTGAAGGACTTTCATCTAGTATGATGTGGAAAACTTCTTTTCCAGTACATTTGACGCATTTTTCTTGGATTGAAGCTACATAGGAATCAAATTATTTAGTTCTCACCATAGGCTTGTGCAAATATAATGTATATTAATTTGGTTGGTCCCTATTGCATACCTTCACCTTTTCGTCGCGCCAGTACTCAACCAACTTTGGCCACTGATCGGGCACGATCCTGCTTGAGGGAACCTTCTTCAATTCTTCCTCGTCGTCCTCGATCGGATTAAAGTAGGTTGATTTGATGTTGTATTTCCAATGCCTCCAAACTTCCCTTAGGTCAGCCATGACCATTTTCTCTGCTGAGTCTGGTAATCCGTTGTTACTCTGCAAAGACATTTGACATGGTTATCGCCCGGTACAAACAAGATAGTAGGACCACGTATACAACTATAATGAAATTAAAGAAATTTCATTTTATATGAACATTGCATCACCTGAACCTCCATCCATGCACCCTATCTCTTCGTTTCCGGTATTTCAGCAAACGTGGGGTAATTTAGAGGAAGTCGAGCTATGTTGCGTGCAATGACCCCAATAGCTGTCTTGTACTCATTTAGGTCGGGTCCAACAATGCTTTTACCATCAGGTGATGTGAATACAAGCATCCTGTGATCCTTTTCCCATCCACGCGGCATTCTAGCCGCCCCTCTCCCCTGTTTTTTCTTGGACAAACCAGCTGGTACAAATAAGAGATTACATGTTATTGTAGATGCGCGTTTGTAGAAAAATTGAAATCAAAATAAATGCAAGACATAGTCTTAGAAGGATAATTTCCAAACCGCCATCCGATGTTATCTCGTCCAATCGTGCCATATCGCCCACCTCCGTTCCTGTCATCAGAGCCTGGTTGGAACCTGGTTCTTCACCCAATAATGGCATATCACTCTCTGCAGTCTCCATGTCCTGTGTCGGTGGAAGTGTCTCGTCATCTGCTTCTGTAGGGGGGATTGTATCATCCTCGTCCTGTGTTGGTGCCGTCTGTTCAAGGACTGATGGGATATCCCTCTCATCATGTTCATGTTGGGGTTAATAGCGTCAGCCTATAGCAGTGTTGTACTAATAGTTCAAATAGGGACCAGCTTTCGTAAAGAAGCCACATTACCTCCAAAATCCCCTCCGAATCCTGAAGCACTGCCCGTCGAGTGGAAGATGTTGTTTTGTTGCTTTGAGTACGAGCATCACGCTCTTTCTCCCACTCTGATGTGTTGGAGCGAAGTCGCTGGAGCAATGGTGAGACCCGAGATCCCTTCCGTTTCGTTGCTTTCTTCGTGGTTTTGCAAATAGGTGATGGATTTCTACTAGCCAGATTAGTTGCCTCTACGGGGCTGTTGCGTGTAGATGCCTGGGTAAACCGTCTTACGGGAGAGGCAGCCGGATCCTGTGACCCTCCTACAGCACCACGTTGAGATTTTTCCATAACCTGCAAGGCACAAGCGTCAGGAATCTGTATGGAACACCATATTAGGAAGAAGTCACAACATAGATACTGCAATTAATGCATGTAAAGTGATTCAGCATACGGAAATCGAAAACAGAGCTTGTGAAATGACATGCGTGTCAGAAAAAGATTACCTATTACGTACTTCAATTGTCGACGCCCTTAACAAAAATGACCATTTGTTGTGATGTGTAATTTATTCTGAACCGTAAACTCCAAAAGGTTGTGTGGTTGCCAAACCATCAAAATCGGGGCGTTCATTAAGCTATATTAATATACTATAAAAAATGCCCGCTTTCCTCATTCTGCCCTAAGCACCATCATCTTCGGAGGATTCCTCCGAATCCCGAGCTGAAGCCTCGGCATGGTCTATCTGTGCTATTCCTTCTACTACCTGCCCCTCGACATCTTCCCTTAGCCAGTAGTCGGCTGCTCCTCTTACATTGCCTCCGTCATCTAAAGCTAACCCATTACTGAATCTATGATCGATCGTACTATACACGTCATACGTGTCTCGCCAATATACCGGAACAACAACGCTCCAGCCTTCATCAACCGGGTTTGTAATGTACCAAACTTGATTAGCTTGGGTCGCCAAGATGAAGGGCTCATCCGTGGGTAAGTTCTTCGGGTACATCAAATACTTGAAGTTCACAAGCTTATATTTGAACTTATTCTCTTTAACACCTCTCTCCAGATCTACCCAGTCACATTTTAAAAGGAAGTACTTCTTTTGATTGCTATATTACACTTCCACAATGTCTGTAAGAATCCCGTAATATGCCACAGAACCTTCTCTTGGGTTATGGTCCCTAGCTGAGGCATAACTCACTGTATATTCCGTAACCATAACACCTGCACATTGTGTCCTCTTCCATGCATCCCGACCTTGAACACGATATCGTACTCCTGACACAATGCACGACGAGTACCATGTTGCACTGCATAATGGTCCACGGGCCAATGCACGTATGTCTGCTGAGATTGGGCACACATTATCATTCGTCGGGTCATCTACCTACATTTCATGTAAAGTAGTTTATGAACACCCGTGATTTCAATTTTGTTTGGGGGCGAAGTCAAGATACCACGTAGAGACGATGTGAACGGCACTCACATATGATTGAAACCTTGACGCAAATTGTTCGTTGTGCTGCTGGTGCACCTCACGTGGAGGTGCGCGCATTCGACATGACCTAATAGCGTTAACGTGAATCCTACAGTGCAAAAAGAAAAGTCAAAGCTGTTCAACATAGATTGGATAGGCATACAAGAATTGTTAAATTGGTGTGGAATAACCTTTATATCGGGCTGATTTCATCTATATTTCCTAGGATGTAGCTATGAATTTGGCGCATTGTATTGTAATCAAGGTTAAACCTAGAACCAAATAATCCTTTCCCGTGTTGTGACCCTTCCTCATCCCCTTGAGCAGCCCAGTTCTCCTTCGTCTCTATGTCTCCGAGATATCTTGAGCAGAAAGTCACGTATTCTTCCATAAGGTATCCACGTGCGATAGAACCCTCAGGTTGTGCCCGGTTCCGTACGTACCTCTTCAGAGTACCCAAGTACCGCTCAATGGGATACATCCACCGGTACTGCACCGGGCCGGCCACCATAGACTCCTCAGCCAAATGGATAGGCAGATGCTCCATTACATCGAAGAACGTAGGTGGGAATAGCTTCTCAAGGTGGCATAGAGTCAAAGAAATTCTTGCTTGGATTCGCTCTAGTTCACGAACTGTGTTGTGAGCTGAGCACATCGAATTGAAGAAGTTACAAAGTTCAATCAACACGAGCACAACATTTTTGGGAAGACACCTACATGAAGTGTTGAATCAGCTCCTTCAATTATATTTAGAGGAGGCATGAGTCGTGTTAATTAATATAATTGTGTTACAAGGGTATACCGTCGGGCAGCAATAGGTAGAAGTCGTTGCATAAGAACGTGGCAGTCGTGGCTCTTAAGTCCCCATATTAGTTGTTGTTCTACCTTTACACGACGCGATAAGGTTGAACTGAACCCATGAGGTGGTCGGAGATCCTTCAACACAGACAGGAATATCCGTTTTTTAGGGTTACTCATAGTGTACGTAGCTGCCGGCAAATATACAGCACCCCTAGGGCCAGAGACCGGGTGTAAAGAACTCCGTAGTTGCATCATCTGCAAGTCTTTCCTCGTGTTGATATTGTCCTTTGTTTTCCCTTTAGTTCCCAACAATGTGTACAGTACATTCTCACACACATTCTTTTAATGGGTATCAAGTCGGGGTTATGACGTATCTCATTCTCAGCCCAATAAGGCACTCGAACAGTATGCTCCTTTTTTTCCACATCTGTTGCTACCCTTCTACCCCCGGCGACGCTTGCGAGATCCCTGTGCAATGCGCTTTTCAATCATGTCATCCTTACAATATTCAGTCGGCATATCCTCAAGCTGCTGCTGAAGTTTAGCGGAAGTCAATCGAGATGGCTTTTCATCAAAGCACATCGAACCGTTGAATGCTTGTCTATCAAAGCGTATTCTATGCCCACCCGGCAGGAACCTTCGATGCCCACAGTAGCTATACTTATGGCCATTTTTAAGGTACCTCAAATGAGTATTCAAACCACAAACAGGGCACGCATTTGACCGACGAGTCGGCCACCCTGACAACATACCATAACCGGGAAAATCACTAATAGCCCAAAGCAATGCAGCTCGCATCTGGAAGTCCTCCTTATTACTCGCATCATATGTCCGAACACCGTCATACCAGAGCTCCTTCAACTCATCCATCAAAGGTTGAAGGAAGACATCAATCCGATCCCCCGGGCCATGTGGCCCGTCTATGATTGTAGAGAGGATGAACGATGGTTGCTTCATGCACAACCACGGAGGTAGGTTATATATCACAAGTACTACAGGCCAAATGTTGTAACTGACGCTCATATTCCTAAAAGGGTTGAAACCGTCAGTGGCCAACCCAAGGCGTACGTTGCGAATTTCCTCAGAGAACGTCGGGTACCGATGATCAAAACTCTTCCACGCAGGACTATCTGCCGGGTGAAGCATCTTTCCGTCGTCTACACGCCCTTCGGCATGCCATCTCATAGAAGATACAGTTTTCGAAGATACGAACCATTGCTGCAATCGCGGAATCAATGGAAAGTACCGTAACTTCTTCACGGAAGATCTATCTTTACCCTGTGCAAATCTCTTTTCCCCACACACAACACAAACATCATGGTCAACATCTTCCCCGATGAACAACATGCAATTGTTGATGCATGCATGGATAGTCTTGCATGTGAAGCCCAAGTCCTTCGTCAGCTTGTTAGCCTCATAGAAGTTCTTCAGAAGAATGACATCATCTGGAAGTGCATCCCTCAACAACTCTAATAACAAATCAATAGATTTATTAGACCAGTGGCACAAAACCTTCAAGTGCAAAAAGCGTGCGATAAATGAGAGTCTACTCATCTTCTTGCACCCAGGTATAAGCTCTTTCTCTACATCTTCTAACATCTTTTTGTACCCCTTACTGCCAAGATGTATATGTTCATCTTCCTCATCTCTGTGAGGTGCGTTTCCGCTTGGAACATCATCGGTGTGCTCTGTATATGCACACTCTTGCAATAGAAGTTCTAGTTCATCCTCCCAACGCATTGGCACGTTGTCGTTTGAAGCAGCAGGGTTCACCTCTCCTTCTCCGTGGCAAGTCCAAACCTTGTAGGTTTGGTCGAAACCATAACGAATATGATGGAGCAAGATATCTCTACGAGATTTCGTTAAGCGATTTCCGCATGACGTATAGGGGCAATAGATGCAAGCTTCAGAGCTACGATCTTTGAATGCGAAATCCAAGAAAGCCCTGACCCCATCCAAATATTAATCCGAGATATGGTTCACATCATCTATCCAACTCCTATCCATCTAACAAGGTAATACATGCAATTGTATCAACGTAACATGCAACCAAAAACCTAATGTTTAAGTCCTATCACGGACGTACACCCCAAATTTAAAAGAATAAAGTTATCTCATCGGTTTGCATAAAATGCATTTACGTCTCTAGAAGTCCATGTTCTCTACATATAAACATAAAATAACCTTCACCAATATAATAGGAAACACGGATGCTATATATGACACTAGCATTATACTTTATCGTAGCATTAAGCCACATGACACTAGCATTATACTTTATCGTAGCATTAAGCCACATGGTTTAAGATAAGCAGTCCTCCCCACTTCAAAACCTTATATGGATGCCCCCTAAATAGTAATAAATGGATTTCGACTCCACATCACAATTTCTGATCGCCCATTTGTAGACACAAGGCAAATTTCTCACTATTCTAACTTTATTACAGTAAAACTAAGAAGAAAATACAACGATGTCAATGCTAGAGATGAAGAATATGTAATGCTAGTACATCAAATTTAATATAATTAAGAAAATAATTACTTAATTACGAACAAATAAGCGATAACATGCAGTTCTTGCCTTATGTCCACACAAATATTAGAAGTGGCAAGCATATGTTTTACCATTGTAATTGTGAAAGGCAAAGCTGATGCAAAGTCATTAAGCATGCAATTTGAGTTAATTGTCAATGCATAGATGTGTTTTGAAATGATGAAATTGAATATGTTATTCAGCTGGTGCAGATCGATGATCATCTGTAGGATAAAATTCATGGTGATGATGATTTTCAATCTTGCCGACAAGGATCATGAGTCCTTTCTATGTTGATTACGCCCCATGTAGAAACCCTTTAAAACAAATATGAAATAATTCTGAAATCTGATGGAAAAAAATGTTTCAGATTAATGGGAATGCACTTAACACTTCATTGCACCCCCCATTCAATAAACAAACATCACAGAAAAGTTTCTGCACAGTGGCATAGCGTCAAAAAGAAAGCAGACCTTTCGGTAATCTCAAGGCTGGGTATCCTGGATGAGCACAGCACGCCTACGTTGACACACGGTCACTTCCTATAAAAAAACAGAAGTTAAAGATGCATTAATTTTCAATGAAAATGGCGCAAAGTACTACATTAATTAAACATGCACTAATTCACATTCTGCATTCTCTCTTTTCGGACTGAATTAGAACCATATATACCAGTTTTAGGACTCCATAGAAGCTTTCATGGAGCCAGTAACTAGCAGTGATGCAAGATATGACAATTTAACAGATCAAATCGGTGATATCAAATTTCTTATAAGTCAATCGTTCACATAGTAAGCAAAGATAGCAAGTATGCAAATAGCACCTACTTATGAATATTCTACAGGTTTCAATAAAACTCTACTGTTGTTTATACAACTCCAGATTGAATAAAATAAGGGAGATGGGATCTCATTGTCTGAGGCATCGGGAGGATTTAAAGAACCCACAGACAGTGCCATTAATAAGTATAGAGAACCAACAATTATCCACACAAGCACGGATGCGGTTGATGGATGAATCCCTAAACCCCAACTTGGAAAGCACATCGCGTAGGAAACTTCAATTAACTCTGTCATAAGCCTTTTCCATGTCAAGTTTCATGATGAGGCTATGTGCTTTTTGGCGGCTGTTGAAATCATGAACCATTTCAGTCGCAAGTAAGATATTATCCGCAATACGCTGTCCTTTGAAAAATCCCCTCTGAGTCTTGGATATCATGGGAGGAATGATGGAGGCTAGCCTTGTACACAAGATTTTGGATTTGATCTTGTTAACCACGTTGCACAAGCCTATCGGCCTGAAGTTGTTCCAGTAAACAGAATCATCGACTTTAGGAAAAAGGGATGAGGGTGGAGGCAGTAAAACTTCTCGAGATGTGAGATCCAATGAAAAATTCTTGGATCGCAGCAATAAGATCTTCGTGGATAATGTCCCAACAATGTTGATAGAAGAGGCTAGTAAATCCTACAGGTCCAACAACACTATCCTTGTTAATTGCAAAAATTGCACTTTTGATTTCCTGAAGACCCGGAGTACTGCAGATCATGTCATTATCATCAGAGGAAGCTTCATGCTGGTAAAGATCGGGTGGAGCGTGTCCCGAACAGACCTTTTCATCGGTTAAGAGGTTCTGAAAATATTTTACTGCGGAGGTTTTGTTTTCTTCCTGAGAAGTAATGTGCCGGGAGCTTTCTGTAATGAGGTGGATAAGGGTTCCCTGTCTTTTTCTTTTAACTAATGCATGGAAGAACTTAGTATTCCTTTCTCCTTCAACAATCCATTGACATCTATCTTTTTGCTTCCAAAACTCTTCTTCAAATGCTAGAGCACGAGTAAGCATCGCATTGCATCTGCTAAGCTCAATGAGATTGGCCTCTGAATGTTGCTGCTCAAAAGTTCTTTCACTGTTGAGAACATCATGTTCATCTTTGATCAACAAGTGGAAATCAATGGCAAAGATGTTCTTATTCCACCATTTTAGATGTCGCTTCAAGCTGATAAGTTTCTGTTGGAACTTGATAAGGCCGTGAGTTCTAGATCAACTTCTATTCTTTTCTGTTGCCTTCAGATAACTTCTATTCTTTTCCCTTTCTTTTTTGTATTTAAGAGGTGCCGAAGATCCCGTTGTTTAAACCCATTTGAGCAATTTGAGTCTTCATTAGTATCAACATTGTCCTGAACCCAAGTAGGGTTCACCTTATCCATTCCAGTAAGGTCCTCCTCAGTGAAGCCTTCCTTATGTTGGGATTTATCTCTTGGAATCCGATCTTCTTTTTTTCATTGCAAGAAGCTTCTTAGATCCTTTTGTTTATGTCCAAAATTCTCCTTATTACTTGGATTCGAGACAAAATTAGTCGATGAAGCAAGACATCCTTCCAAATCATGTCTCAGATGCTTACAAGAGACAATATTTCGGCACTTTCTCATTTTCCACTTGCTGTTCCAATTCAACTCCATTAATGAGCAAATAGATTTTGTCAATCAGAGGGCGAGAAACATCAATTTCAATACAGCCTCGGGCAGCTGAAATTCTAGCCTTGGGAGCTGTTGGCGTATCCACTTTCAGAGGGGTACCAATCAGTGAGGCAATGGAAAAAAGAGCATCCCTCTGGCATAATTGGGCAGGAAGCACAGGGAACTAAACCCAAAATGGTAATACTGGAGATTCGATTCCAAGTTTAAAAGAAGGATTCCATTTCAAAACTCTCATAGGGAAGCCTCTGCTGAACCAAATTCCTCGAGTCCAAATCCGAGTGTAATCCTCCTCATTGGCAAGGCGAATCAAAATATGTTTAAAATTGATTTGTAATAACTTGAATTCCCCATTCAACTTAAGATCATTGAACCTATCCCAACAATGCTTTCCATGAGGAATATCCTTGAGTGAATTTTCCAACTAATGAGAACTTGAAATCAATTGGCAGAAGAGCAAGTCTCCTCATTTGAAAATTCCAGCGCAGGGCCATTGTTGTGTTCAGTAGTAGAACCAATGGTTTTCGGGTAGGGAATAGAAAGAAAAGAATTGGTTGAAAGGAGATGTTGTTTGTCTAGAGGGTTCGGAGGATGGTTGGCAACAACTCCAGCAAAGGCGTGACGAGCAGGAAGCTCATCACCCATCTTAAACAACAAGCCAGAAACACAAACACCTCAACCCATACTGATCCCGGGGTAGAGTCGAACAGGTGCAGGTTGAGATTCTTCCCTTTCAAACTAGCAGACCAAAACCAAAATTCCAGAACCAAAATAATCATGTGATAAAATTACACCATTAATAAATCAAACTTCACAGGGCACTTAAACAATCTGCCTACTCGTTCTCTAACACAAGAATATATTATCCTACCAACTAATCAAGTTCTGTTTATCACATACAAGCTATACAATTCCCAATACCACCTGAGAAAGAAGAAGAATATTACGACGCCCTATTTCGATTTCTCCTTACAAAGGACGCGACGAAGAACCGTGGATCGATCCTCATACTACTCGAGATAACTTAAAAACATTACCTGGACGCCGGTGCCGATTAACCTCCTCGATCCCACCTTCGCCCAGTACGTCGCGTAAGCTCCTTCAAATCGCGTCGAAGAATGAGTTGTGCCCTAACTTTCTGAAATTCGTGGAATGTATTCGGCACCGAGGACGGGAAGAAGAAAGCCCGCGCCCTGAAATCGTTCTTAGTTTTCCAAAAGCGCTATAGCGTTTTTACCCTTTTTAAAATCCAAAATATCTTTTAAACTTTAAAAATAAATTTATACACCATTTGTTACGAAGCACAATCGTAACTAATGTTATTTTGAACAAATTCTACCAACTCCGTTTTTGTTACGGCTTATTTTGTGTAATTAAAGAACCTGAAACGTTGACCAAACAAATTTTTTGATCACGGAACTTGTCGTAACAATAACCATTATTTGTTACGATGTTATTGTAACGAACTGTCGAGCCGTGGTGAAAGACCCTTTGTTTTTATAGTGAATGTACATTGATGCTCGCCATCCAGACCTGTTCCACCATTACTCCACCCTACTACACTACATATTCTCCACTTCTTCAACGAGCAAGCGGACGAAGAAGAAGCTTAGAGACAATCAATCGCAAGCTCAACTTTAGCTGGCTGGAGTTTCAATAAACAAGTAACGATTTGAGTCAAGACAAGAAAGCAGCAAATCATAGACTAGATACACACATGATCAGTCACGCTTTCATACACAATGTCAGATCCTTAATTTAATTTGTAATAACGTAGGTTTTTGCGAAGAAACCGGATGATAAGCGTTCGTAGCCGGGATTCAAGCAGCTTCGGCAAATCCAACCTTCATATTTCCCATGTCGAAAACAGTGTGGTATTGCCCCATAAAAACATCCCCTAATATCCTGAATAACCAAAAATGTTACGAATCGAGTAGTTAGGGGTGAGATTGAGTTGAGTCGAGTCGAGACAATTGATTGTGCGAATATATATATATATATATGTGTGTGGTTGTAAATTACCAAAGTGGGCCTCGAGGGGGTGCAATGTCAATGGCTGTGAACCCGCTGATGCATTGTGCCATGTCTCCATCGCCTACTTTTAGGACATACTGACAACATAGAGAAACAACACCACCCAGAGTGAATTATGAAGCAAAACCCAAACGAGAAAAAGGAAAATACTTAATGATGCACGAACCTGCTCTGGAGTGAGGTCAAAAGATTTACCGCCTATGGTGAAGGAGATGTTCGGCATAGAAGAGAGGCTTCCGCAGTCGACTGAAGATTCTCCCATTGGACTCGGAAGCCGATCACATAGCTGCAGCATGGATTAAGGACTTCATTACATAAAATATTGGTGTCCAAGTGCTGTCCCTCGATGAGTATGATGTAATACTCGCCTGATTAACGTAGTCCAAGATTTCCTCCGCTGTTTCATTCTGCTTGAGTTTGTTTTGCATCCACACGACAGCCATCTCGCAAGCTGTACACATTTCATCATGTGGACGGCGTGAATTTGAGGTTTTGTTCTTGTCGACGACGCTCTCGATAACCATACTGAATACATACATAGACTGTCAAAACACTAACTCAACAGAATAGTTCGACGAAAGAATTTACAGTGTCAAAACAAACTCACCTGACATCGCGATTTCCATCAGACAAACATAAACCTATTCTCGAGCAGATTTTCTGAGGGTCTACCTGCAAGCATTGATAGCAAGAGCAAAATTCAAGAACAAATAAATCGAAAGAACAAGATGAGAAATGCCAACTTATTACAGAATCAAACATGAAAAAGGAAAACTTTATCCAACTGTACGTATGGTTCCACAAAGAAAGGGTACGTAGATTCACTTTCAATCCCAAACTTCAACAATGAAAACGAAACACATTGTGTTAGAATTTTCCACGAGGAATCCTGTGTACCTTAGACGAGAGCAGATCCAGTATAGTTTTCCCGTAAATCGAAACGATCGACTTGCATTCTTGGCTCACCACTCCAGAAGCCCCAACAGCATGATTGATCAATGTGACAATCGTCTGAAAATAAGAGGATGGATTTGTGACAAGTACAAATTTAAAAAGTAGCTCGAAGCATATGAGATCTAAGAACATATTTACTATGAGTAATTTACGATTATAATTTCATTAAATTAAACAAAGTAAGCAATGTAAATACAGTAGGTCCAGCCAATAAGGAGGTTCCGGAATCAGCTATTGCGGAGCATCCACCAGCGCAAAATCCTGAAATCATCATAGGTTAGCTATGGCAAAAAACAAGAAAGAATAGAGTTGGGTAAATCACCCGTGGACTCTCCACCAATTAGAACTTCACCCATGTCGAACTAAGAATAAACAGTAAAACGGTCAGAATGTCGTAAACACGATGCATTGATGTGCAGAAACAGAAACGAGAAAGAAGCAACACCTGCCAATAGCCCTTTTGGGTAACGGGAACGTATACATGTTCGCCCCTGAAATGTTTAGGATCAACGCCGCCAAAGACGAGCTCTCCTCCATCTTCCTCGTCACCATTACGATTTAACCAGAAAGAAAAAATGGGCTCTTTCACAAGATTTTGATTCACCATATTGTACCTGTGGAAAGGAAAGGTCAACAACTGTAGATCAAGAATTTGAAAACTTCAAATAAATGTCTTCGATCAATCTGAATTCTATTCTTGTAAGAAATTTTCAGAATTGTGTGTACTTGTGTTTATGTCTTAACCAAGACTGCGCATACATACCAAACCGGGACAGCATTCCCTACAGAAATTTCCTGGAATCCGAGGCCAAGAATGCCATCGAACTTAGCTGCCAAGAAAGTGATTCCGGGCTCTTTCGTCGCTTCAATGAAATCCTAAACATACAATGTTGTAATACATATAAGAAACCTGGATGATGTCATTCATTTATCGTATGGATATATATATAGATATGTATGTATGTATACCTGATCCTTCACAACAAGGCTACCAAGTTGAACATAATCTTGGCTAAAAAAGCCAGAGATCGACCCAGTTCCATAGTGAATTGCAGCCGATTTACCTTTTCAAAATCAATACACACTTGTACAAGATTACAACATAAACTATCCTTGCAAAACATTTGACACCACATCAATAAATTGTGGGTAAACCTACCGTTCTTTCTGTAAGAACTTGAATGGCTCGACTTATACTTCTTATGGAAGAAGCAAGCAACCTGTATGCAATACATCCATCATCGACCCAAGAGAAGAAAAATAAAAAAATCCTCAACTTCTGTTTTCGCAGAGCCTTTTTACAATTTACAAAGACATACTCCTTCTGTCCATCCATCAAATATATTACTTTTTTTTACACAAAAAAAACTCTGCATATTTCTTAATTTATATCCTTCGATACTATTCTTATTTACAAATATGTCACAATAATATACACACATTCAACGTATCTAAAATTTTCTCTCATCTAGTTAACATCCAGTCATATACTTTTCAAAATACTCTTACTTTATATCACATTTAATAAATATAACACTGTATTAATTAAAACTCGCGTCTGGCTGAACTGAGCATAAATTTGGTGGACAAAAGAAATATTATCTTGAACCCTTAAACTTATGTTTTTAAATTTATTTTCGCAGTATACATCAACAGCTCTTTTTAAAAGAAAAACAAAAACAAAAAAAATAAAATAAAATAAAAAGAGATCACATTCAATTTCAATTTATATCACTATCACGTCAACCATAACATTTTTCCTACTAAGAAGCCAATTCAAATATCCAAAATACTTCCAAAACATATATATATAAATCGAAGCCTTGATCTAATCACTATTTTCAACTCCAAAATAACCGAAACACAAAAGTAAATATATACTCAGCAGCTCATTCTCAGCTTGTAGTAGCTAATTAAGCTTAGAATACACATATAAGTAACAAAACTTACAGAGAAGTAGCATTTGGAAGATGGCACCCAAAGGTTAGAGCTTCCGGTGTCAAAAACAACGGTGAATTTCTGCGGCGGCGTTCCGATTCCGATCTCACCGTAATACTGAGCATCCAAGTAGTTCTTCAGGGCTATGATGTCTGTATCTGAATCTGAATCCCCAATCTTGTAATAATCACTCACAATTGCCAGCCGATTATAATCAGATTCAAGGCCTCCCGATCGGTTTATTAAGTTCAATTTCCTCTTCTTTAATCCGATCCTCAAAAAGCCCTCATCTGATCTTGCACAAAATACAAAACAACACCAAACTGCCAACAACACTACAGCAACTTTGTATGTTTTGCTTTTGCCCATATTTGATTCCCAATACAAACTGCAATCAATAAATATTAAATCAAATAAGCTACGAACCCTACTTTGCAGACCAGAAATTGATTCCACTCAGAAAGCACGAGATTGACGTATATAAAATGAAGGCGTTGAAAAGTGATTCTGTGTTCGTTTTAGTAGTCAATTGAGCTGAAGAGTACAATTGCAAGCTTAGATGGAGGTTATTACAAAGCGTAAATTACTACGGAAGAGACAAAAACGTTGCGATCTTTTGTAAGAAAAAAGAAATCGAAAATAGGCATACCTGGGAGTGGGAGATGGAGGTCGCGAGATACAGAGGAGACGAGCAAACCCAGAAATTTTGGGGTCAATAGGACATACAGTATTATTAAAAATTGTCTGCTGCTCCTAGTCAACTGCATTGTTATAATTATTGTTAATAATAATTTTAAAGTTTGGGGTAATTTTGAAATTTTGGGGTAAATAACATAGAAAGTTTAGGTCTGTGTACACAATATTGTTAAAATTTTACACACTTTTTATAAAATTTATTTTAAGTTAATTATAATTTATAAATAAATAAATAAATTTTTATTTATCTGTATTATATAAAATTTTATTATGTATAAAATGATATTTATATTGTATAGTAGAGTATATTTTATTGAGATATAATGTTAAAAAAAATTTAAAATACCAACAACATTATCAATTATTTATTACTCTACCTTACCTAAAATATCGTGTCCCTAACAAAAAAGATCATATAACCGGAGACGAGGGAGTATTATTAAATTTTTAAAAAATATCAATCAAGTATTTTTTTTTCATAAAATTTTATATTTCATCTCTTCGAGATGAATTGACATTTTTCATTAATAACACAATATTTAAAGTAATAATTTTAATCACTTAATAATAACGAGTTATAATATTATTTCATTTATGTAATGAATAATATTGATAGTTTTAAAATAAATTTTTTTAAAAAATTAGAATATATATTTCAATATTTTAAAAATTATATCGTAATAAATAATATATGCAATATGAACATTATTTTGTAAATAATAAAATTTCTTATATAACAAGTAAATAAAAAAATGTTTATTTATTTTATAATTAATATAAACTAATTTTATAAAAATGCAAAATTTTAAATGTAAATAAAATATTTATTTTTTCTAAAAGAGAGATAAATTGTTATGAAACAAACAAAAATGAAAAATGAGTAGCATTTTTTTATTATATTTAAAATTTCAAAATTTTAAAATTCTCAAAAAATCAATCTAAAATATTTAATACTCTTTACTAGAAATAAAATATACTACTTTTGATATGATTTTTGTTTTTTAAAAGAAATTACAAATGTGTGTTCTTTCGAGAGTTTTTATCAAGTATTTTATTATTCATCAAAAAAAATTAAAAAAATATCAAATTAAATATTTATTTTTTATTTTTTATATTATACTATTAAAAATCAATTTACATTTCAAATATCACATCAATGTATATTTATATCATATCAACATATATTTATATCGCATCAACACATATTTATATCGCATCATATTACTATTCTCATTCAAAATTTTTACTATTCAAATCCTAAATACAAAATCCAAACCATCAAATCTTAATAAAAAAAAAATATATAGGCTTTGTTCACCCAACAATAGTTTTCAATTGCGATTCTCGAAAACTAATAATAAATAATACAAAATATCTTTTATAAAAGTCTAAGTGTAAAAAAAATAAAAATAAAAAAATCAAATACTCATTATGTCAATCCTTACAAGACATGAAAGTCCACACTAAACAAGATCTGGAAGAAATGCAGGACCGATATCGACCCGACCTTAAAGATCTCAAGAAACCAGAACTGGTGTCCACCAGCTGAGATGAGGATTCTGAATCGGAAAAGAAGGAACACCCTTGCATCGCCCTATTAGACGATGAATAAACCCTTCAAATTGTTTTGAACCCTTAACGGGTTCAAAAATAATTTTACTGGATAACTATTTATTGTAACCTGAAAAGGCAGAATAATACATTTTCAGATATTTTGCATTAATGCTATCATGTACCACATTTCCTTCTTGATCCATAATAATAAATGCTCCATTTTTTATTTTCTTGCAAACCACGAAAGATCCCTACCAATTAGGGGACTATTTTCCTAACTGATCAACCTTTTTGTAAGTTGGTAAAATAGTTTTCCAAATCAGATCTCCTTCCTTAAAAGTTTTGTAAAGAATTCTTTTGCCATAATGCATGGCCTGCATCTCGCTTTGTTTGACCATCTGGTCAATCACCTTTAAACGGATAACGTCCAGATCCTCCAACTGCTGTATCATACCTTGTTGACATTCCTCGTCATTATCTAACATAGAGTTGGCAGTACGAATCAATGGTACATGAAGCTCGGCTGGTAGCACTGCATCTTGTCCTAACGTGAGCTGATATGACAAAAATCCAATGGATGAAATTATGCTAATGGATGTGCCAAGAAAGTTTGAGGCAACAACGTATGCCATTTCCTTGGATTCTCGCGAATCATTTTCAGGATAATACCAACAATAATTTTATTCGATGCTTCTGCCTAACCATTTGCTGGCAGATAATAAGGGGAAGAATGATGTAATTGAATATTAAAACCGTCCAAGAATTCGATGGACTTTTCCCTAGTAAACGCTTAACATGATCTGTAATAATAGTGTGTGGAACCCTAAATCGGTAAATAATTTGATTTTAAACAAATTCAATTACCTCTTTTTGTGTCGCATTCTTCAAAGGGATAACCTCAACCCACTTGGTGAAATAATTTGTTGTAACCATAATGAAACAATGATGTTTTGAAGAAGCCGGATGAATCTTACCAATAAAATCCATTGCACAGGCCTTGAATGATCATGGTGTGACCGAAGTCTAGAGGTCAATAGACGGCAGATGATTCAATGGCGCATGCCTTTGACATTCTTAACATCCTTTGGAAAACTTAATACAATCCTCAAATATTTTTGGCCCAAAGAATCCCAGGCGATGAATGACCCATCTCATATTTAAACCCACTCTATAGGCTCCGCACATTCCACTATGAACTTCTTGCATAACCTCTAGTGACTCTTCTGGCCCCAAACATCTCAATAACATACCTTCAAATGTCCTCTTGTACAGGACTCCTTCAATTAGTTGAAATCGTAATGCCTTTAACCGAACACCCACGGGTACAACCGAACTAGGCTATTTTAGATATGCAATGATATATGTCCTCAAGTTGGCCAGGACTTCCACCCCCGTGCTGACATCACAAACAACCGCACTTAACACCCGCCTACAAGCATCTTGGGCTAAATCATCCGCATGATGATTCTCTATCCTCGGGATATGCTAAAAAATTCTTGACAACAATTGATACAACAAAGCCCTATATCGTCGTAAATGAGAGAATTGCCAGCATGACGTCTTGTTATCTGATTGATCACCAATTGAGAAACTCCTTGAATCACAACCGACTGGACCTTTTACCAAACCAAAGCCTCAAGTCCCAAAATCAAAGCTTCATACTCTGCAGAATTATGAGTCATTGCTTCGAACTGCAACTGTAATTTAACCTTTTGACTATTAGGTCCTTTCAAAATTACTCATGCTCCGGATCTTTCACCTACACTCGATCCATCAAAAGAATTATGCCAAGTCCGAGTACCTAAGTACGATGTAGGTCTCGTACCCTCTTTTCTATCCTCGGCAAATTTCGCTAGAACAGTAACTGCCTGACCCTTTACAGCTTTCAGAGGTTTGTATTTTAATGAAAATTGAGCTAATTTGATGTCTCATTTCATTAACCCTCCCTGCATTGTGGGTCTATGCAGAATCAACTTGATCAATCTACCTTAGATATGACTTTTGTCTCTCTAGGGAGGATATAATGTTCCAGCTTAGTACATGCAAATACTAGTGAGTAATACATCTTTCCAGGCATGGTGTAATTCAATTCAGGCCCGGCGAGAGTCTTGCTCAAGTAATAAATTGCCCTCTCTTTACCATTTTCCCAATCATGTGCCAACAAACAACTTACCACATCATGAGTGTTTGAGAAGTATAACTTAAGGGGTCGGACTCCCTTTGGAGGCATTCACGACGGGTGGTTAGGCCAAAGCCATTTTGATGGCTTCCAAAGCCTCTTGTTCTTTGGCTCCCCAGAAAAAGTCTGATGCTTTTGCTAGTAACAATTTTGTAATTGACTTCATTTTCCCAATGGCATTGGTGATGAACCTTCGCAAATAATTTACCTTCCCTAGTAGACTTTGAACCTCTTTGACCGACTTAGGGGGATGAATTGTAAGAATAGTCTTGGCCTTGTTTGCATCAATCTCTATCCCTCTTTCATGCACCAGAACACCCAGAAAGTTTCCCGTGGATACTACAAAAGCACACTTAGTCGAATTCATCTTTAAGTTGTAATTCTTTATCCGTCGGAACTCCGGCTTCAAATCATCTAAATGACTTTTGAAATCAATTGACTTGACAACCGCATCATAAATATAAACCTCTATGGACTCACCAATCAAGTCATGGAAAATTGAATTCATTTTCCTATGATATGTAGCTCCCGCATTTTTTAAACCAAAAGGCATTACTGTCCATTTTTAAATCCCCAGTGTCCTAGGACATCTGAATGCCGTTTTGGAAATATCTTCCTCTGCCATAAAGATTTGATTATAACCAGCATACCCATCTATAAGAGTAAGGATCCAGTGTCCTGCAGCTGAGTCAATTAACATGTCAGCCATATGAATCACATACTCATCCTTAGGGGTTGCTAAATTGAGATTGCAAAAATCAATACAGATTCGAATCTTCCTATTCTTCTTGGTAACCGTTACTATATTCACCAACCATTCAGCGTATCAACACGGCCAAATGAACTTAACTTATAAGAGTTTTTGATTTCTTCTTTAATTTGTGGCATCAATTCGAGACTGATATGTCGAGGTGGTTGCTTGTATAGCCTGAAAACTACTTTGATAGTCAATCTATGCTCGATCAAAATCCTTTCCAACCTTGGCATTTCCAAATAATCTCATGCTAGACAGTCCACGAAATCATGTATCAATCTAACCATCTGCTATTATTGTTGTTTGGACAGAAAGCTGCTTACTCTGACCATATTTGGAACTTGGTCGGTTCCAATATTATACTCAATAAGAGGATCTTGTGCTGTAAACGTGACTCTGTCTTCTCGAACAAATTTGGCCACCGAAATTGTCTACCTTTGACATCTGCCAAAACTCTGACGTCTTGCAAATATTGATTAATTATCATACTAAATTCATTCATACTGGTACCTTCCATAAAACTCCAATTAGAACATAAATAAGCGTTTTGGCTATCAATGAGCCA